CTTGCAACTTTTGGTTGCCTATTTAAGTAGTCTGCCCAAGGTTCCACACTAGCTGCCATACCTGCAACCCAACTAGAGGATTACCTATTTAAACTCTCTGGTCACAACTGGCCTATTATTTCTTACCTAACCAAGGTATAACTCACTATTCATATGCTAGATTTTGTGATATCTATAGATTTCACACCCTATCTAGGACTAATTTATCCTCAAAATAAACCTAACAGAGTGGTACATATCTCACACATGTATTCACCTGCATGTTTGATAACTTCTTCCTAATCTAGTACCTGTTGGCTTTTTTTGTAGTACGATAATAAATTACTTTTTCTTTTAAATAAAGTTTATTTATTAGCCATATTATTTGTGAATCTTTTTATTTTATAGTATAGAATTACTAGTACATATTAGAGTTTGGAGCCTGTTATTTTTTATATATTAAACCTAATTAAACCAGTTTTACTATATGAAAATAAACTTGTTTCAAACTCTAATTGTCTTTATTAGCAGAAATTTAATTTAAAATATATATGATTTATTTATTTAATTTAATACAATAAGTAATCTAATACATGCTTAATTGATAATCTGCCACTCAACAGGTATATGATAAAAATTTACTTGGAGGATTACCACATTTGCACTATAATAGATTTATATAGTAAACCATATTATGTTATACTAAGATCATGTACCTGTTGAGTGGTGGATTATTAATTAATTTAAATTAAATATTATATACTAATTTCACCATCTGCTTAATAAAAAGTTCTAATTTTTTGGTATCTTAAAACATTAGTAAATCATATATATCTAATATAGAATTATTTAGTTATCCGAGATCTAATTTATCCTATATCATCTATATAGTATATTATATTTAATTTAAATACTAAGTCTATGGATAAAGCTTTTTTAAAAACTATTGCCATTGTGATTCAAAAGTATATTCATATAAGCAAATTGTGCTCATTTCGTGGTATCTAAATGATCTTGTTGCAATAAGGTAGTCTAATTGAATATGATTAAATAGGCTAAAATTAATATCATTACATTATTTTATATTAGCAGATTTGCAGAATAGATCTAAATTAGGTCCCTGGATTTAATAACTACAGAATGTATAATGTTAATATTGAGGTTAGCTTTACAATCACATTGTTAAACTATATGAATCTTAATTTAAATCAATTCTGTAAATTTGCCAATATGTATTTTAATGTAATCAATTTTAATATCACAAAATGAGCACAATATGCTCATATATTATATCTTCTCAATATATTATATAATAAAAAATTTAAATCAGCTTTAAATTGATTTGAATAAAATATTAGTAATCTAAATTATATAATATCTTTATATTTTAATGATACTATGCTTAGCACTTGCAAACCTTTATAAAGTTATATAATTTGAATTTATTAGAGAATAATCAACTTTAAAGGCTTTTACACTATACTTACTTAACAGTTTTATCTCATCACAGTTTTTTAATTTTTATATACAGTATATAAAAAAAATTATACTTTTTGAAATTAAAAATTCTGATTTTATATTTGATAAGATATACTACATGACTGATTTTGAACTTGATTTCATATTCAGTTTATTGAACTTACACTACTAAAACTTTATTAAATTATTTTTACTAGAACTTTACCAAATATTTATTTTAAGAAAAAAAGAGACAACAATCTATTTAATACAAAAAATGACTCAAAGAAAATCCAGACCAGAAACTCTACCTCATATTCATCATAATGTGTAATATAAAATATTTAAACTTAAGAAAACTCCTAAAGACCAAAGAAGAAGAAAATTCTGAATGTTTAATACTGCTAAAAATTACTATAATGCTCTAAAAAACTTAAATAAAATTACAAATAACTCTATTAGAGGTTTGTTAGACTTGATTTTTGTATTTATTAAGTTTAGTTAATAGAGTAGATAGTATAAAGAATTTTTTTGTATGCTTTAAAAAGCACACTTCAACCCAAAACATAACTCTAATTATGTTCTAAACATGCTTTTATATAATACTTGTACCTAATTATAACTTAAATAATTATTACTTGATTGAATTTTGTAGCAATAACTCTTTACTTTTACTCTTTATAATCATATGTAACAAGAACTTTTTTTTGCCTCAAAGTTATGCCTATGCACACCTGAAGAAATATCAATATGATATGCCAAAAACCCTATGCTATCTACTCTATTAACAATTTATTAGCTTAAAATTTATTAGTTTTATCGATACTATATATATATTAATTATATATAACTTTACATGATTTTTATTTTTACATAGTTATAGAAAATAAAGAAGTTTACTCACTAGATCCTATCCACTTATCTATTCAAACCCAAAGACACCCCAGAACTAATTATAATTTTGCTTAGAGTATAATTGATAATTTTAAGCCAACAGTTATATATGAAAAATATATAGTTTATGACAAATATATGCTTTCTCAAATATCGATCTTTTGTAAATACTGTCAAGCTATGCATTGGCCAATAGAGTCCTCAAACAACTGCTATTATAACAGAAAAGTTGTTTTAGCCCCACTAGACAATATACCTGAGTCAATTATAAAGCTTCTTATACAAGATTCTCTTATAACAAAAGAACTTTATCTGAAATAGATTCATTTATTCAATTTTGTTTTTTTTTTCATATCAATAGGAATATTAATTGACCCAGAACTTGTGAATAGAGCTCATAGCATGTATACTTACCATCTTCAGGTAGCAGTTTATTATCAAATTGGTTTATTGTTTCCTAATGAAAATTGTATACCAAAGTTCTCACAAATATATAATATAATGGAAGCTTTAATACTGAATTGAGATATTATTATATTGTGTTTTCTTTTTTAGATTATGATATTTTGGCAGATATTTAGCAAGATCTCCATATGCATAATTCTTTTGTTCAAGTTTTTTGAAGTGCTGGCCAATTTGTTTATAAAGATTAGCCAATTATATTAAGACTCTTGAGTAGCCAAGATTTTGATATAAGGTATTATAACTAGCCTACTACAGATAAAATAGCAGTTTTATTAATTAATAACAATACCAACAGTGGTTATGATATTTTTCTTTACACTACTTAGGGCCAATTACAATAAATATCAGAATATAATACTATATATAACCTACTTCAATATCTATTGTTATTTCTATATAGTCAGCTTGGTTGGCATTCTAGTATTCATTATTTGACAAATTCCAGTACAGAAAACTACTTTAATTCTGTAAGTGATACCCTTGAAAATGAAATTAATCCTATAGATAAAACCTCAGATGACGAATTGAGCCAGTTTTAACAAAAAAGTCAAAGAAGTCATGTTACAAATATAGGACTATGCTGCATACCATTTATATATATATAGTTCTATTGATGGCATATTATATTATGCTAGGTATCTTTTTCATCAATATATTATTGACTAATATGCCAAGATTAAACAAAATTGGCTTCTCTAGCAAAGAATAAACTAGCAAACAATTTATATTGAGCTTTACCAAGAACTTGCTAATATATTGGCAAATAACTTTCAAAATCTTAGCAATATAAAGAGATAAATCATTTTACCTGCATCTTTTATTAGTAGTTCTTAGTATATAAGTCAATATTATCAAAATATAATAGCAATCATAAAAGAATTTAAGAAGCAGAGCCTATTTATTATAGATACATACAACTCATATTGGCCAGAGAACTTTATAATAACTAGACACCAGAGAACTCTTTCTGCTAATCCTCTGCACCAAAACGATCAAAGCAAAAATTAGCAAATAGAAGAAAAACTAGTATAGAGTACAATACAAACACTACTAAGGAAAAAGAATGAGCAGCCAAAATAAACAACAGTTCACTAAAACAAAAACTTTTGTGTACAAGATTGTAGGGCTCTCAACTACAGAATTTAATTTTTCTTCGAAATTTTTGAAATTTTTGAGAAATCCTACTTTACTCTGTAGTGTTGATCTGTTTATATACATAAAAATAAACAAGTAAACAAACAAACAAATACCTACGCGTCTTTTTAAAGCAGAAAGTAAACAATAAACAAAACAATTATTAGTCACGCTTACTGTAAACAAACATGTATTGTATAAGCAATAACAAACGAAACAAACAAACTAAAACCAAGCAAATACCCAAATGCCGGCTTTAGAAAAGTTTAAAGACTTTTTTAAAAAGTGTAAAGAGGAAAAACTCACACTTTACAACATCAACTTCCTACTATCCTTAAAAAAGACAGAAGAGTAGCAACGTATTTAGGAACAGATAATATTCAACTTATCGCCACAATCTGTTGCATATTATATATATATGAGTGGGCTGAACATAAAAAGATAAGAGAACTTGAACTAACTAAAGAGAAGAAAATTTTAATAGACAACAACTTTTCTTTTACTGAACTACAGAAAAACCTTAGTAAAAGCAATTTAAACTATCTACTACCAGAGGTATATCTTTCTCAGTCAAATATTAAATCTAAGCCATGTTCTATAAGCTCAATATCTACAGAGAATATTCTCTACAATTGTAACACCACTATTAACAATTCCAAACCAGTTCCAATGGAAACTACCCCAGCACAAGAAGGAAAATCTTTAAGCAATATGAATACCACTATAACAAAGGAGTTAACAGAAACACCATGGAAGAGAAGCTTTACAGGAAAAGAAAAAGAAAATAATATCTACTCTTCAGAAGATAAACAAGAATTAACTAAACTATCCCTACTGGAAAATGAATGTGGTGTGCTTGATTATGGTATTGTAGAACAAATACAAAAAACTACTCCTGTTGGCAAAGAAGCTGCTTTAAAAAGAAATAGCAAAAAACATAAGCAGTATAAAGATATATACAACTCAATTTGGGCTCCAAAAGGCAGTTTCACAATACAAAAAAATACATCACAATATTTCTTTACACTGTGGGACCTCTCCAAAGAGATAAACCCAGGTAAAATCAAAGGTTATTTAAGTTATTTTGGTATAGCAACTATACTAGCATGGTAACAAAACTTCAAAACCAAGGCAGCCTATATAAAAATTTCATCAAACACAGATAAAAGAGAAAGCTCACTGAAAGGAAATTGGTCAATCCACCTAGAGCAAGGCAAAACTTATAGAATAATACCAGGAAAATTTAATAGCTCTATACTAGAAGAAAGGAATAAATTCAAAACCACAATTTATAATTTACCCAAATCGGCACTTGATAGTCTACTTCTGCGACAACTAAAAAGATATAATATTCAGGCAGAGCATATTTTGAACAATCGTAATGGTAACCAAAGCAGAAGAGCTTATATTTACTTTAAATCAAAAGAGGATCTTACTCAAATGCAAAAGAGTAGCCTATTCTACTATAATACCAGACTAGAATGGCAGTTAGATATAAATGCTACTGAAAATAGTATTACACCAAACAGTCAGCCCTATTTCAAAACTGATCTTAGCCAAAACACAAAAAAGAAAAGAGCTGCAAATGAGGCTAAAATTTATAAAAACAAAAATGTAAACAAAAAGCCAAAGTATACAAGAATCTCAAAAAGATCAAATAGATACTATAATGACAACAAAGAAAATAACTTTACCACCCGCAGTAAATCAAACCTGGCTACACAACCTCATAAAATTAAGAGTTTATACAACAGGGCAGAAAATAGCAAACCTCTCCTTGTAACTGATACAGAAAATATCAAAATGGAAAAGGCAGATTCTCAAGACTATGGCATGAGTAACGCAAGCATTGCCCCCCTGTCAACAAATGTTAATACTACTAAAACCAGAAAAGATATCAAAGGAAAAATCAATGCGTAGTCAGAAAATCTGTCACAACACGAGGTCTTGGCAGAGATTCTTAAAAAGCTGTCCAAAATTGAAAGGGACTATGAGTTGATTCTGATATCTAGATCTAACTTATCTTAAAAATAGTTACAGGCATTTTTACGAATATAGACAGTGTTACCGAAAGCCTGCCAGGATCTACATATGATTTGGAATTTAAACAAGGGGATAGTAACACAAACAAAAATAAGAAAAATAATAAAAATAGAGCCCAATAGAATAGTATAAATAGCAAAAGCACAGAGAACTATTTTAGGGAATTAGACGTAAATTGGGAGCAATCTGCAAGAAGTATTAAAAAAGGCATCAGTCCAGAAATCAAAGTAGGAGTATACAATATCAATGGTATTAAAAACAATAAACAAAAAATAGATTTACTAGTTAGCTGGTTAGAGAAAGAAGACATCACAATTTGTGGTTTGACAGAGACAAATATTTCAGCAAAGGCAAGCAAATTTATATTAGACAGCAGCAGTAATTACAATACTATATATCAAATGCTAGTGTATCTAAAAAGAAAAGCTCAGGTGTAGGTCTCTTAGTTAGAAGAGATTGGGAAAAATTTATAGGCAATATTCAATATATAAATGAGTATTTATTAGAAGTTAGCTTTTTCTTCAAACAGCTTATCTTAATTTGCTTAGTAATATATATCCCTCCAAATAACCAAGAAGAAGCTAGAGCAATACAACAGAAAGTAATTAAGCGCTATATAAGTAGACCACCAACAGCTCAATATATAGTAATGGGTGACTTCAACAATATTATAGACCAAACTCTCGATAAAAGTAATCCTAACCCAGCATGTAACCAAAAAGTTTTCCTGCTTCATTAATAGCTTCTAAACCAAAACTTCATAGACTCTTTCAGATTTCTAAACCCAGACAAAAGAGAGTTCACATGGTCAAACAACAACTCAGCAACATGAATAGATCAGATCTAAATTTCAGAGGATTTAATAGCAAGATTGCTCCAAGCAAACATACATGACATGAAGTGGTATACAAAAAGTGATTATAGTTTAGCTCTGATTAAGCTGCAATTTCAATATCTTAGAAACTGATATAGTGCTGCACAAGCCAGACTTAGAGGATATATAAAAACAATATTCCAATATATAAAGCAACTAAAGAAAACTAGAAAGACTACAAAGAAAGTTTAAATAAACTTCTTAAGAACAAAGGTATAACTGAGTTGCTATTCAATGTATCAAAAAACCAAATAGTAAACCTTGATAAAGTATGGGATAAAATAGAAAGTAGTATAATTGAAGCAGCAAATTTTAACATTCCAAGGAAAAAAATTCCTAACACAGTCTCAAATACAAGAAGGAAAAGAAAAAGATCTTACCTACACTTAGCCACTACAAGCCTAAGTAAGCTAATTGCAAAGGGGAAAAAGAATTTGGGAGCATATATCGATCCCCAATCAAAAAACCAAATAAACAAAACTATAGGGTTACTTAACAAGAATCTCCAAACCAATATACCAAAATTAAACCAAGAATGGACACAAGACTGGGTAGAAGACTCTAAAGACTGGTGGCACATACTATACAATAAACTCTCTGATGAACTGGAAACCCAAAAACGAAAGGAAAATGAAAAATTTACTAGAAAGAGATGTTTAATGATACAAAACAATCAGAAAAGAATGCTAAGAAGCCTCCTCGACAAACTTTTTAAAAAAATCACACTAGACCATATAATGATTCAGCAAAATAATTTACGAACACTAATTACAGAACCAGATATAATGTTGAAAAAAACTCAAGAACACTTCCAACAGCAGTTTCACAAAAAAAGAGTCGAGAAAGACCTTCTTAATCACGAATGGCAGAAATCTACAAACTGAAAGAAGAAATTCATTGCTCCTTATACTCCGGTTTGCTTAAAGACATTGAGAAAAAAGAGTAGAACACAATGCTTAGTGAACTTAGTGTAAATACTGTGCTAGGCATATCGGGTATCAGTTATCTATTAATCAAAGTAGCAGACCAAGAGGCACAAGCGATTTTTAGAAAGTTCGCAACGTATTGTATACAAAAAGGAGAAATTCTACTTAAATGGAAAATTGCTCAGATTTATCTAATTCCAAAGGACAGTAATTGAATTTTCAATTAAGCAATGTTCACCCAATTGTTTGCTTAAAACATTACACAAGTATATAACAAAGATCTTTACAAAGCGGTTAGCCAAAATCATTTCTGAAAACAATATATTAAAAGCCCCTAACTTTGCAGGACTTCCAGGTAAATTCACAGAAACTCCAATCCAAATACTTAATATGTTAATAGAGAATACAAAAGAGAAGGGTAAACAATTATGGTTATTAATGCAAGACATGAAAAAGGCATTTGACTCAGTATCACTAAAGATACTTGACCTGCATGTGAAAGAATCAAAATTCCTCCAAAAGGGACCAAATTTATTTTAAACCTTTTTTGCAAAAGATACGC